CATGAATTCTCCTGATGTTGACAGAATTGTAAAATCTATCCAATCACCATGTTTCTGCTCAATATTCTCTAAAATGCACCCAGCTTGTGCTAACCAAGCAGTTTCAATATCATTAGGTGACAAATCTGTCTCGATTTCACTATAAAAATAAGATGGTTCCTCTGAGGAATACAATACCCTATTTATGTTAGTGGTCAATGCAATAGGGTGAGTTATTAATATACCTGGCCAACCTGATGAGTGTAATTCTGCTTTCCCAATCGGGGTCTGCCACCACCTGACAAAGTATGACACTTTTAAAGTTGGAGGTATCTGGGCAATGATTCTCTCTGGTTTTGGGCGATAAGGCTGCACAGATGAATGCCAAATATTGAAAAAGAGGACAAATGACTTGGCTTACATTATCTGATACAGTCATGACAGACCCAAACGTGAATAAATTTCCGGAACCCTCCATCTCCTGGGAATTCAAGATGTTGTGAAGTGGCATGCTGGCCAAAAATGCAACAACGGAATCAAAGTGAGCTTCAATGTGCTTGACGATATCAATATCTGAAGAGTAGAGTGCAAAACCAAGCTGCGGAACAGTGCTAAGCTGATCCATGTGATCCCAGGGAGTACAATATGTTTCCTTGTTCTGGAGGTTTGGTGATAGTAGAGCAGGGGGACCAGCACATATCAGTCCAGTTGGCTGTATCCAGCAATGTTCATCCGAAATAAACCAAAGTTTACCGTAGATGAACTTGAAAGAAAGTTAATTTACTGAACTCGAAGCTGGAACTTGAAGCCACCTCTGTCACCCTTTGGGCTTCTGTAACATCAACAACCTAAAGATATAGGTTAGTATGCAAAGAGTACTGAGATTAAGAACGGACAAATCGATGATTCAGATATACTAGTGCAAGAGGACTTGATGAACACAGCTTCCAGAAGTACTGCACAGGGATTAACTCTTGCAGTAAACAATATTGAGCGGTGGAGGACATGGATATGAAACATACACTCACCGCTGTGAAATAACAATGTCGGAATACTGGCTCCATGTACAACTCCAAACAATTGCATGAGATTATGATGTCTGATGGCCGTGTCATCAGAGTGTCTGTATAGCTAATTCGTTAAAAGCTCATCACCGGAATTGAGAGTGTTGAACCAAATCATCATCAAAAGCCTAACAAACTTTGAATTTCAGCAAGTATACTAACTACTGCAGATGAGCACACCTCTTTCGCTTGAGGACCTTCATAGGTCACAGCAGTGAACTTAGGTGATTCCCCAAGCCCTACCACTTGAACCGTACTGATTAATCGAACAACTTTAACTTTGTCCTGTGAGTCCTTGCTAACGCTAGACCTTGTACTAAGGACAAAAACATCGCCATCCAGAATAACACGAAACTGTTTAAAGCATTGGAATGGGTTCTCACAGGTGAAAGATCAAAGAACAAACCCGTCTTCCGGAGATGAGTTGCGTTGAAGGGACATCTCCTACATAATTTGTGTTATGATTTACCGTTAGGTCCCCAGCAACAGCGTTGAATTCGGACCCTTGAATAGAGAAATGCGATGCATTCTCGAAGACTTTGGTTGACGCCATTTGGATCCACTGAGAGTCTAAGACTGGCAAGGTTGAAGACGGATGGTAGGGGAAGAAAGAGATGAAAAATGGCTGTGCAGGCCTAATTTTACCGCTGATGCATTGCTCTTTCTGACACATGTCACGCTTTCTTGTATGTAGAGCTGTTGTGCCAAGCTCATTCTCGTACGACGACGTGTGAGATTCCTCCGAGACAGGACTTAGGAGAAGATCAACATGATATAAGTTATCGCATCCACTCCGATCAAGCCCATAAATAACCATGCCAACCGTTGAAGCCTTGTTTTCGACTTTTCGTTCCCTGCTCTTGTCCCTCCCTTTAGTGGGCCAACTTCCAAACGGAGTCAGTCACTATCGTCCTTTTGGGTTTTCGTCTCGTTCCTTGTAAGTCTGAGAATCAGAACCGTAAGTCATTGACACCTCTACTCTGGGTTCTATCAGCAAATGCAGCCAACATCCAATTTAGACGTTTGAAAATGCGATTCGATAACCTAGTGCGACTCACGAAATTTAAGGATAGGTACTTAATGCAAATGCTACACGCGGACCTAGTCAATCATGTCCATGAGAAAGAAAACGGTGACGTGAACGAGTGAAAGTACCTGACGTAGAAGGTTCTACACCAGCAATCTCATCTTGGTGAATAGTATGGATACAAGTAACGATCCATGACGAGTACGTGCTGCATTAGTAGCATTTCGAAAAACAAGTTTCAAGCAAAGAAGATTTCAGAACTTCAACAGCCAAACTGTCAATCTTGGATGAATCAAGGAACCGCCCACAGATATCTTGCGCCTACAGTTTCCCAAACGCTTATATCTCTGGATATACACTCGGGTCAAAAAATCGAGTTTGATTGCGAAGACACAGTCACTCAAAGGGCATACAGGTGCCGTCGACGCGTCATATATAGCCATAGGTACAAGTCGACAGTACCTGTGATGAACGGTTAGCACACAATGCATTGACAAGGCTAAGACCACAAGAAATCTAGACCTACATATTCAACGGCAGGTCACAGTAGCAGCTTCTGTGTCTGAATATTGGAGGGATGGAATCGGATGGACTGGCAAAGAAGAACGCCCATGAAACTCGGTAATCTAACAATCAGTACATGCCAGGCGGGCTCCGCAAGGCTTGCATCCGGTCAACCCCTGGCAGCTGTAGTTCAAAGAGTACATCGAATATCTGGCAGATACAGCGCGATAAGTCCAGAGTTCCCAAGGCAAGTAAAGACCGCAGACGCAAGTTCGTTTCCTTGGATTAATCCTCCGCTCACTTCCTGGGCCTCGCCAAGCAACTTTCTCAGTTCTCGATCCTTTTCACCATTGATATCGAGTTTGACCATTTCGGCAGTTTACAAGACAGGCCACCGAGCGACAAGGCAATGATAGCGCCAATGATACACACAACGCTGCAGAACACGTATATGGTGTAAATCGAGTCCACGAGATAGACTGCAAAGTGGTATGTATGGCTGAAGACGAGTATATCGAGATGACTTGTAGAAATACAGTTGCTGGGTATAACAACACGGATAAAACAATGGTTATTGGTGAGAGGATGGCGAGACTTGGGTTCAGAAAAACAGATAGTGTTTGAAACACTATCTTTTCATTGGCCTTGAATCCGCCAGCCAGAAAAAAAGAGTAAAGAACGCGATGTTTGGGTGGTGTAGAACACAGCTGAAGGTATGGGTTGTATGAGCGATGATAATGAGCCAAGTAAGGATCTGCGACGGCGCTGTTGAAGCCACGGTGGCGAATGGAAATCTGGCTTTGACACCAGAGTCACTATTTGGCTAGGGATTTCGGGCGAACTTTTTAGAATCAGAGCGAAAGTACACGCACCAAGTTCAAACGTACAGTAGCTTGGCGATTCTTCCAGAATCCAGATCGAACGATCAAGTCACTGGACGCTGAGAGAAAAACTGCGCAGTTGCACAGGAGTAGACCTCTCGTTTCGAGCACGTTTTGATAAATCAGGTAGACTAGCTCGATGAGATAGCATGCCTGCGCTCTTGCTTGGTACAAAGGTACCAACAGCCTGCACATGTGTTACTACTGGGGCCGTAATCTGCCACCACCATATGCTACGAACAGAGTCTGCATGCCGAATCGCCTGCTTATAACTGGGGTGAACCTAAAAAAAAACGTCTTTTTTTATCCAGCATCAAGTATACGTACTGGAAATTTGATTTAAGCTAGAGGTTTGGGGCGTTGCGCTGAAGAAACTACAAGCTGTCGTCCCGAGGAGAGTCGAATTCAAGTCGAGGCGCCTAACAAGTACAAGCGCCCATTTTCTTTTCGTACCATGTCTTGATCATGTCACCGCGCGCCATTCGCGAGCGCAGCCCAATCATACCTCCAGCTCTCTTGGCCTACTGAGTACTACACAGCACAAAAAAATCAATGTCCGAATCCCAGCACACGAAACTCCCAAAAAAAGCAATATTCCAAATCTAGTGCAATCCGGTGGAGAATACACTTGTTCAATGTGTTGTGTGCCCTAGTACGTCTTTTTCTTCTTTTTGTAGGTTTTTTTTTTTTACTCATCATGAACTTTTTGACAACTCTTTCGTAATATGCTTCAAAATCATAAATCCTCCTCCGACGGTACTTCGGTCCCTGGCTATGGACGCACATCATGATCATGTACTGGCACAAAATTGCGTCGGAAGAATCTTCGAATACTTCAGCTCAACTACCCACTCTCCCGTCGTCCAAACTGCATCCTTTCCTTCGGCTAATCTCCAAATATGCTGAACAGCCCTCCACCTCTAAAATCACTAATATCCCTACGCTGACCCTACATCGCAGACGACAAACCTGTCTGGTCTCCCACAGCGGAACGACCCGAAACCGTTGAACACGAGGCATTATGAGGCCAGGTACGTCTTTCTCTTTCGCTGCTATATCGAGTAATGCATCTGTATCTGATATTCATGATCTATTATCACTCCAGCCACCTCCCCCGCCGTCCACAAAGTGCTCTTCACGTCTTCTCCCATCCCATCCTAGGCCACCCCGACCTCCCGAACACTGCCCCCCGAAACCTCCTCATATCCCTCGATCAACTCTCTGGTGTCGCCCGCAAACGCGTTCTGCAGCCCGTTTTGGGCGTCTGAGACCACTTGCACGCTGCTACGCTCATTCTGAATCCGGAGTATCAGAACTCAGAAGGCATGCTCGTGCTGCGTGCGCTAACTGAGGCGATCGAAGGTGCCGTGCAGATAAAGATGGTAAGTCGATGGAAGGACATTGGGTATGGATTGGGATTCTTTTTAGATATCGTGTAGTTTTGAGTTGTATTCTACCGGTGGGGCTATTCGTGTATTATCAATGTACTTTTGCTATTATACTTTCTAATGGCCATAACAAATCGTGATCCCAACCTCTAACCATGGTGAGATGGCCGAGTGGTCTAAGGCGCTAGATTTGGGTACTGGCATATGGTGTACAATATCTCTAGTTGTCCGTGGTGTGGGTTCAAATCCCACCCTTATCATAGGTCACTGTTGAGAGTAGTTTTTTTAAATAGAATTTTTGAAGCTTCACTGTCCGATCAACCTATCTTAGGCCCAGCTTGATTCTAGTCATCATCTAAGGTACACCGCACTTCAGCTTGAAACATCACTCCCATCATAGCATCGCAGAACTTGAAGGATATCTGGATGTCTACCAACTCCAAGGCTTATGTACATATATAGCCCGGCCCTACAAAAGCTCTAGTAGTCAATAAGATTCAAGCAAAAATCCATATCTTCCAAGGGGATGCAGCCGTGCCTGTCTATGCTCCGCAGAATATGATGGTTCCTGCGTGAGCAGGGTTTTCTCAGTGCCGGGTGAACCACCTCGGACTCTGAACAGTCTGAGGGGCCACACCACAATTTGATATACAGCCTGTGCAGTATAGGCTCTTGAACGATCCCTTTGGGATTAACCGAAGACATTGATCTACTCCGCCGCAGTCGTTGTTTGGGTGTTTTATTACCTTGAGTACAATCGCTGTTGTGGGAATGACTGTTGGCACAATACACACTCCATGGCAGCCACCGAGCCATAGAAACATCTGTCAATCTAAGGTTAAACAATAAGTTTGCATTAATTTTGCTCAGAATTCTCACCGGATGAGTCGTAGGCCTTGTTTTCAGGTATTAGCTCCCAATCATCTCCTGTATCTTTGTGGATATACAGAGGAAGTGAGCTAGTCAGAAAGCTATATTTTTCATGATCACTTGCAAAGACACTTACCATCTAATACTGCCTCAATAATTTCAAATCCATCATCTGCAACTGTATTTTCTGGAGACTTGAAAAGTGGATAACCATGTTTGCGTGAGTATTTCACCCCAGAGGAGAAGCCTTTCAATTTCAAATATTGGGATACTGCCACATGTTCTATGGTTGGCCACCACTTCACCCCAGTAATAGAGGCCTGAAATGATGGAAGACCCAGAAGGTCCTGTGTTGTGCGGGATATTGGCTGGGCTCCATTTTCATCCAAGGACCAAAAGTAAGGCTGGACATTGTTGAAGGAAAAATATGGGATGGATTCAATTTCTGTAACATTCACAGGTGCAATGAAAAGATATATGTTCCGGTCCCAAAAGACAGGAGCAATTCTTGGTCCAATAGTCTGGCTACTGAGTATCATGTTTATGGTAGAGCTGAACAGAACTAGATCAAAATGAGCTCTCCTAAGGATGACAAAATAGTAAAATCTATCCAATCACCATATCTCTGCTCGATATTCTCTAAAATGCACTCAGCTTGTGCCAACCAAGCAGTTTGAATTGCATTGGTTGACAAATGTGGAGACTTTATTTCATTGTCAAAAAAGTATGGCTCCTCCGATGAGACATGTGATACCCTGTTCAATTATGTTAGTAGTCAATGCAATAGAGCAAAGAGGGAATGATATACCTGCCCCAGCCAGATGAGTGTAGTTCTGGAGCTTTACCACACCTGTTTTTCCACCCCTCGACGAAGTAAGGCATTTTCAGAGTTGAAGGTATCTGAGCAATGATTTGTTCTGGTTTTGCTAGATAATCGAACTGCAAATATGAATGCCAAATATTGAAAGCAAGGCAACACATACACTTACATCATTAGATATAGTCATTACAGACCCAAATGTGAACAAATGGCCAGAAGCATCTACCACATCCTTGTCCCCAAGTAGCAATGCCACAAATGAAACAACGGAATCAAAATGCTCTTCAATGTGCTTTATGATATCATGGTCTGACGTGTAAAGTTGGAAGCCAAGTTGAGGAACAGTTCTGAACTGGTCTCTTTGATTCCAGGGAGGATAAGATTTTTGTATAATCGGGTCATTGGACGACGGAGCAAGGGGACCAGCACATATCAGGCCAGATGTTGGCTGTATCCAACATTGTTTTCCAGAAATAAACCAAGCCTGATCATTAGCATACATCGACTTGAATGAAAGTTAGTTGGTTCATTATACAAAGTGAAACAGAACCACGGAGTCACCTTTGTCACCCTCTCGGCTTCTTCAACATCCAAGGACTAAAGGCATAGGTTAGTATAAAAAACGCACTGAGATTAAGAACGGACAAATCGATGGTTCAGATATGCTAGTGCAAGAGGACTTGATGAACATAACTTCGCAAAGTACTGCAGTGGGATTAACTCTGGCAGTCAACAATATTGAGCAGTAGCTGATATGAAAATAAAACATACACTCACCGCTATGGAATATCAACGCCGGCACACTGACTCCATGTACAACTCCAAACAATTGGGTGAAATTACGATGTCTAACGGCCGTGCCATCAGAATGTTTGTATAGCTAGGTTTCGAAAGCTGATCACCGTGATTGAGAGTGTTGAACTAGATCATCCTCAAAAGCCTAGTAAAGAAACTCTAGATTTCAGCAAGTACAAAGACTGCAGGAGAGTGCACCTCTTTGGATTGAGGACCTTCATAGGTCACAGCAGTGAAGTTGCGAGACTCTCCAAGCCCTACCACTTGAACAGTACTGATTGAACGAACAACTCTTACTTTGTCCTGTGAGTCCTTGATCACACTAGATCTCGTACTAAGTACGAAAACATCGCCATCCGGAATAACACGAAACTGATTTAGGGACTGGAATAAGTTATAAACAGGTGAGAAGTTGAAGAACGAACCCGTCTTCCGGAGATGACTTGTGTCGGAGGACCGTCTCCTACATAGTTTGTGTTATGATTTACCGTGATTTGGTCGCCGGCGACGGCGTTGAATTCGGATCCTTGAATAGTGAATTGCGATGCATTCTCGAAGACTTTGGCTGGCACCATTTAGATCCACAGACGTGGCGAGGTTGAAGACGAATGATGGCGAGAGGAGAGAAGGAATCGACAAGGGCTGTGCAGTGGCGAATTTTACGCGCACGTAACACTGATTGATTCAATGCCCTTTCACACGAATGCCACTGGTTCTGGTGGTTTGCATTCATTTCCGTATGACGATGATAGGTCTTGATACAAACGTAGGAGGTTCCTCCGAAACACAAGAAACTAGGGTGGTATAGTCTGAGAACGGTAAGAAGGATGTGTGTCCCTCGATAAGTGACTTCTCCCACAAACCTAATTCCTCCAGCACATCGGATATGTCCAATGACACTCAAGAGAACTCACATGGTATCCATACCAGCATCCATGGCGCACGCGAGTGGTACATCCGAGTCAAAGGCATGTTGAGTGACGATATCATTGCCTTCCTTTGCACACCGAGCCTTACGATATCCTAGCCCCCTAGGACGCAAGGGGTGGAGCCTTTGAGATTGAAGCAGAGAAATGCGGGATAGATGGTTGAATTCTGGTAAGGTGACAAGGTATGACAAGCACGTGAATTTGGGTGGTACTGGAAAGGTCGACTCAGGTCATGAATCCGATTATTCTCTTGTGCATCCTAACGACTCGGAGTCAGGAGCAGAGTCAGGCATCGCCCCGTTATTGCGATGGTAGCCGCCTAGTATCTCACGGGGCTCCCTTTTCTTCTATCGTAAGTCCAAGAACTTGAGTCTTAGGCTGTGTGTCTTTGGTTAGCCATGGTGAGATGGCTGAGAGGTTGAAGGGGTTAGACCCTGATTTATCTCGGTGTGTTCAAATCCAAATCCATCTATCATTATATACGAGAGAAGGTGGCGCTAGAAGAGTGCTTGTGTATTTGTTGGTTCTGGAGGTACTACGCCACCCAAGTCACCGGTCAGTATTTTGAAGTGTCGCCACGAATTTCGAAAGTAACAGGTACGTTATTATTTAATTTCTCCCTGTACCCCCACTGTACCCACCGCTCAATAATCAACGCCCCGCCTTGATTCACATGATGTTGACATGAGTGACACAGACAAAGGCTACAAAGCCAAAGAGGACACTTGTATCGAGATTATCTACAGCACCTTAGTTGGAGTAAAGTGGTGCGTGAACTGAGCCAGCAGTTAGCCTACACCGTCAGGTTGCTCCCTGTTTATATGTTACGAGTCCTGAATGTAATGAAGGCTCGTCCTTATGGCCGGTTTCGCGTGGGAATTTCGTCCCGATTGGTTTTGATGGCATCCAAATTAAGCTAAGCAGAATCGTTTCGCCTTATTTGGGATGTCAAAGCGCCTGTCATGTGATTTTGTGAATTACCTTCAGCGCTCAAGCGCTCAACAACGCTTCTCACTGCACTTTTTGAAGCTCCCACTTGCCTGTTATTTCCTTGTTGCGCGCCACTTACTCTCTTTATTCGTGTCCTACCGCTTACTGCATGGCAGTGCGACCACATTTACCCAGCGCATTGATGCATCTGACTGATACCGAGCCATCCTCTTGACGTTCTTTCCTGCATTAAACGCCGCTGCAGTTCTGTCTCTTACATGCACATGCAAATTCTCAGTGCAGTGGATTCTTTTTTTGCCACACAGCGTTTATATATATCTCATTACTTCCTGTTTTTGTACCCCCACACTTTACTTCCTCGGGTTTTTACTTTTCGTCGGCAGTGGTTGAAGTGCATGCGCTGCCTCTTTTGGTGTATTTAATGGTTCCATCAATAACTTCAATATTTACTGCCCTTTCTAACCTCGGGCAAAATGCCTTCCTTTACTTCTTGTGAGTGTATTCGGGTATCTCTTGCATTCCTTGCACTGATTTTTCTTTCATAGTGCCTACCAAGCTCACCACCAAAATTTTGCAAGTATATGTCGCTTTCTACATTGATCCTTCATTTGACATCACTCCTGTTCCATTGAATGATAGCAGTGCCCTTGAACTTCAGCATCTTTCCAAACAAAAAGAGCTCCTTTCCATGCTTACGGTTTGCCGGACATTTGCTGCTGTGTTGCCTCCACTTATATTCCAGCAGGTCAATATCTTTTCAACCAGAGCAGTTGCCAGCTTCCATTGCGCTGTGTGTTCTCACTCTCTTATCACGGGGAATTTTGCAAACACTTTGACTTATGTCAAGTTTTCTTTCTGGTTTACCCGAGCCTTCCCGCTTGGCTCCACTACCACC